GGCTCTCATTGAATATGGATGCCCACCTGCCTGCTGAATGGAGATGAAGGTCTCAGAGGCTCCTTTGCTTCACTCATGTTCAAATACCACGTTGATGACAAAGAGCTTCCCCAGAACAAAGTGACGAGCGTGGACGTTTCTTGCCAAACGTGGCCCAACCAACGTGCAGCCCAAGGGGGTGCTGTGGAACCTGGCAGTGGGCATCACAGCCCACCCTCCTCGTCACACCCACACCTCCACTCAGAAGTGGCTTCAACCGCTGAGTCCCCAAACACACAACAAGCGCAGACATTTCACATCTCCTCCGAGCCACTCCTAGAGATCCTACAATGAGCGAAGCAAGAAACACAACGCTTCCAAGCTTTCAAGCTCCCAGCTCAAGTATTTCTTGGGCACAGAATCACAGAGTTATTAAGGTTGGAAAAGCCCTCTGAGATCCTCAAATCCAGCACCACCCTGTTCACCACCAAACTGTCCCCAAGTGCCGTATCCGCACGTGTTTTGAATGCTTCCAGGAACGGTGATTCCACCGCTTCCCGGGGCAGCCTGTTCCGATGCCTGACCACCCTTTCAGCAAAGAAATTTGTTTGTTGACACCTTGTTCTCAACTCTTGATCCCCACACAAGCCTTCCTGCACTGTGGCAACGTGACTCCCCACATCCCCCTCCATGAACCACCTACCTCCAAGATACTAATCCTCTTCCCAGTGTTTTTGACTTCAAACCATCTGATCCTGCTCAAACACATGGGGGCTCAGATTTTTGTGTAGAGCCAGCAAAAATCTCCATCGAAAATGTACACTTGCTCCCTCAACACCTTTATTATTAATTGCTATAAAACTTAATTTTATTCATCGTTTGTTATGCCTCCAAATTGGATGGGAAAAAAATTTAAATTAAGCAAAGTGAAAAGATTTCAGAGATGGTACAGAAGGCTCCTGAAGGAGCTGAAGAAAACTCTCCAGAGACTGGGAATGCAGTGCTAACCCAACCTGAAAGAAAGATCTTAAGACAAAGAAATCTTGCCAAATTGATCCTTTAATTATAACATTAGTCGTTTCTTTCAAAGGCTTAGTGCAAGAGCTGGGGGTGGGGGGCAGAAAAGACTTAAAGGGAGAAAAGGCTTAACACCACCAGGATGAGTGGAAGCAATTAGGAGGATTTAAATTACTCTCTTGTTTGGTACAAGGCAGATGGATTTCATTTTTACTGCCATTGTGCTCAACTTCTTCCTCTGTGATCAGCTTCCAAAAGGTCATCTCCTCAGCTAGCCTAAGAATCCAGCCTTCCCAGGTCAGGCAGCATCCACTGTGCACCCACTCAGCTGTTGCTGTAGACCACAGATACCATCATAGCAGCTTTGTTACCCTGGAAAGGGGCTGGAAGTGTGAGACTGGATAGGGGAATGGAGTCTACCAGACCTCAACAGGAGGATGATGTTGCAATGAATGGAGGAGAGTGACTGCAAACCAGAAGCTGGGGAAAGGGGGGTGGAAAAAAGTGAGAATGCAGCCTGTCTGGTATTGGGAACTCCGCATGAGCCCTCAGTGCTATTCCTCCAAGCACAAGTTTTTTTTAATCTCCCCTCTTTCACCCTCTTGCTCCCAGGGACAACCTAGACATGAACCATCTCCTTGCCAGGAGTGGCAGAGCAGGCTGGGACAGGACCAGTGGTGAGCTGTGGTCAACTTCTGGGGTGGCATTACTGCTGCTGGAAGCAGGGCTGGGACAGCACAGCTCTCATAATGTCTCTGCTGCTCTGGAGACACAGCCCAAACACACCTATAATTGTTTTACATGAGAAACAGCTGAGGAGAAAAAAAGGGAAAAAAACAAACCAAAACTCAGTGATTTCACCAAAAAAAAAAGGAGAGGAAATCTTTGCAAATCTCCAGCATGGGGCATCTGTAACTTCTTGGGCCACAAGACAGCATCAGGCAATACTTGATATGAGTCTCATCATCTTCCCAAGCTCCCAAATCCACCAGCTGCCACGTGGCAGAAAACAGGGCATTTCAATGGATGCTCCATCCTCGCTCGCTCCCACTGACTCTCTTCTGCCAGGATTATTTCAGTAGCTTGTGTAGCTTTAAAAGCTGAGCAGTCACATCTCCTTGGGCTTCGTACCTGCTCTCAAAGAGGAACAGGGCCAAGATATTTTTTTTCTTCTTTCCTGCTTTCGGTTAGAATTAATTGATCCATAATTGCACCCATAGAGGGGGAAAGTTAATAGACACAGTAATAAATGCCAAAGCCACAGAAGAACTGGCTCTCCAAGCCCCTGCCTGGAGCAGCTCCATCTCCTCTTAACAGCGTTGCATGCAATTCCAGTGCATGTGTGCCTGTTAGTATTTAGGGAGAAAAATCGAGGAGCCTTGGTATGATGATTCCTCTTCCTCTCCCACATACTTTGTGCTTAAGGAGCAGATGGATCCAGGCTGTTTAACTCACGGAGGTCATGCCTCAGCTTAACAGTTGGGGAACTGACTGTTGGGAGAGATGCTCATCGCAACCAGAAGATTGCTAAATCTGGGCTCCAGCTAACTTCTGCTGGTGGCAAATTAAACATACAAATGTCCTCCTGCAGCCTCTTTGCATTTGGGACCTACCCCAGGTGTTTGACTGCTGCCCCAAAGAAAACCCCTGCCAAGGTGAGGTGAGGGCAGAGGCAGCTCTGCAGCAGCTCCTGAGAGTGAACTTGGAGAAGAAGCCTGGAAGTCCCAAGCAGACCTTGATATTCACCGATGCAGATGGAGCAGTTTGCAAGCAACATGAGTCCAGATCTCTGCAAGCAGGTTACCAGGGCTCAGCGCTCACCACTGTGCCCCATGTTCACTGAGTGACCAGGATTTCAGCCAGCTGGGAACAGTCTGTCTCTCTCCAAAGCCACGCTGTAGTGCCAGGGAAGGAATTCCTTCGAGTGGAGGGGGAGCTTATTCCCAAAGTGACCATCTCCTCTCAGCTCAGCCCAGCCACAGGGCAGGCTGGCATATCCAGACCCTGCCTGTTCATCCAGCTCAGGTCTGGGCAATGGAAAGGTCACCCTTCCCCTCCTGCAGTAGAGCCAAGTGCTCTCTTCCAGCACAAGAGGACTGCGGTAAGTGTTAAAAACAATAAAAACTAAGCAAACAGAATAAGGAACAAAGCCCTTCTTGCTGTGCTCAAGAACATCCATCGTTTGCGTGCAGAAGTACCTTCTCGGGCTGGCAGCAGCTTGGGGATTCTTCACCCCCACTGAGGTCCTGCATCCACGGATGTGGCCCTGTCACACACGGTGGCCTTGCCATCGAGTGGCAGAGCCCAGCTCGCCACCTCTGCTCACCTCGCTCAGCCCTCCAGGAAGCTGAGCAGTCCTGCTTTTTCCCTAGATATCTGGCACGCCACAAGAGCATCTCCATTGCCAATTAGGCCACCCACCCACTTGCATCCTTCCCCAGTACAAACCCTATTAGCAATAAACAAACAGTCGAAATGCCAGCCAGGGACTGGGAAGAGCCCTAGACAACTGCATCCAATTCAGCGGGTATGGAAACAGCTGCCTCGTGCAGGCCCGGTGCAGGAGAGCACCAAGACGGACCAGGGCATGACCAGGCATCCCAAGAGCCCCCCTCCAGTCCTCTGGCCAGTGTCTGGCTTGCAGGCCAGAGCAGTGCTGCCTTGCTGTGTCCCCAAGCTGCTCAACAGCACCAAAAGCCTCAGAGTTCACACAACACACTACACTGAACAAATTCAACATTCTAATTAAGGGTTTCCCAGCTACCTTGCCCTGAGCATCCTAACTTTCCCTCTTTAGGGTTCTGTAGGAAAGCTCCTGCTTGACACTGACACCCAGTTGGACTTTGCTCACATGCCCAAACTGGATGTGGCACAAGGAATACAAAAGCCACCCAACACTGCTTGGATATCTTCATCCCCCACAAGAATTCCCTCCATGCAAGGCAATGTGAAGCCCTTCCTGAAGCCTGTCCCCAGAGCCCTCGAACTCAGACCCCAGAATGAGACTTGGGGAAATTCAACCCACCAACAGACCCTGAAGAAGCCCAAACTGCTTCTCAGGAAACTCCTCAAACCACCACCATCATACCTGAACTCACAAGACAGGGACAGAAATGACCAGGGCCATTCTCTACCTTGATGCCTTCATCTAAGGGCTTTCTACCTGGCCAAAACAGTGCTACAGAAGCTTTTGTTTTTTGGCATGACGAGAAATCAGCTAAAAAGCTACCTGCTTCAGTAAGGACGGAGGAGCCCACGTCCCCTTCCCAGTGCAGGAGAGGACATGTTCTCCCCATGCACCAACCCCTGCCAGTGGTTGAGGATGTGCTGAGGCAACCACAGTTCATTGTCATGGTGACAAGCCTTTTTCTCTCTAAATCCAGTTTAATGGCTTGGATTAAAACCGCCTTTCCCCTTGGAAGTGCAGAACAGGAACAGCTGCATTGTCCCTACATCTCCAGCTTGTCCACGTGCACCCCAGGCACTCCTACGCTCACCAGTGTGCATCCCCCACCAGCGCTGGACACATTTTTCTCTTGGGCACAGCCTGCACAGCATGGAGGTGCCCTGCATCACCCCCCTAGACCCACCCCAACCCATGCCCACCACATTCCATTAGCCACCAAATGCACACCCCACTACAAACCCAACCTGGACTCAAATGCATTTCCATAAGACCCCCCCCCCCCCCGCCATATCTCTCCCCTCTGGCAGCAGCCAGATCCCCATTGACCATGTATTACAGGCGACCAAAACCACGAGCTCGTCAGCCAGGCACAACAGCAAGAAAGCATCATCAAGGCTGCCCCTTTCCCAGCCCCCAGGGAGAAAGAGACAAGCATAGCCAGGGAACAATCCCCTGCCGTGGGGCAGGCAGGCATAAGGGGGCACGAAGGGACCAGCTACTGAGGTCCTGGGGGACACAGCAGTACCAGGGGCCATCCTTGGGGCTCTGAAACATACGACGGGCACAGCCCAGAGGGGAAGGACCACATCTCACTTACCCTGACAGCACTCCCAGGACAAGGTTGAGGACAAAGAAGGATCCAATGATGATGAGGGGGATGAAGTACAGCCAGTTCCAGGTGGCTCCTAAGGCATCATTGGTCTGGAGGGGAAAGGAAAAACATGTGTGGTGTTACCTTCAACAGCAGCAACACATGGTGGCGATTCTCCCTCCAGGCTGACCACAGGGTAACATGACCATGCCTGTCAAGACTCAGTGGGCACCCTGCAGAGGAACTCCCCACCAGCAGAGCTTTGGTGCCCCTCAGCATCCTACCCCAGCCATCTTCCCCCCAGTCTCCAGGCCTCACAGGCCAGGACTGCTTTCCTCCACCTCATCTGCCCAGCCCTGCAAGGACACAGGCTATAAGGCAATGGTATATTCAGAAGTGCAGGGCCTGCAGCCCAAAATCAGGGTGTTGAGGGCAAGAGGGCCACCCTGAGCGTGTTTTCCCCAGCAGTTTGATTCAGTGTTCCCCTGCACATCCCACCAAGATGGGGCAAAGCAGCCCTGGAGCAGCAGTGCCAGCTGAGCACAGATTTATAAGGTGCCGTAAGACCAGAGAAGCTGGTGCCTAAAGAAGGGGCAGCCAATGTTTGTCCTCTAATGCACAGTGGGAAATCTTCAAATGGGCATTTTGCTGCTGGCACCATTACTAATTCCTCGCAGACACCCTCCCACCCTGGGTCCATTACCCCAAACCCAAGGAGCTGAGATCAGAGGGGAGCTCTAGCCGCAGGGTACAGATTGACAGCTATAAAGGTTCCTCACAGGCCCCACTGAATACCTTCAGACATTAATTCACTGAGGGTTTTAATAAAGCAGTGCCTCTCTGTCCCTGCTTCCCAGGCCCCATTTGTCCTCCGGTGTCAGGCACGGTGCACATGACGCCGAGCTGGAGGGTGATGCGGCAGAACGTGACTGTCTGGGGGAGGTGGTATCAATCTTGTTGCGATGAAAGACTCTTTCTCTTTTCTCTCTCTTCCCCCCTCCTCTCCCTGTGCTAATTAAGCCCTCATCTTCATCTGAGTCATTGGCACCACGTCTCCCGGTCAGCCAGTGCAGGAGCTGAGGGGAGGCTCTGCAAGAGGAGAAGCTTGTCTCCAAGGGGGAAAGAAAGCCACCGTGTTGGAGTCTTCCTCCAGTGACTGAGGCAACCAGTGTGAGCTTCAGCTGGGTGTCCCCAGCACCCTGACACCGATTCCAGTGCAGGAAGGGTGACACCAGCATGCCCCAGTGCACTGGGATGAGGATGCTGTAGGCAGAGACCTCAGTGACAAGGCTGGGGAAAGCATTTGGAAGGACTCACCGCCCTCCTCCTTTGGCACTGGGGAAACCACACACGTCTTCCCAAGATCTTGCATTTTCAAGAGCCCCAATCCACCTCCAGTCCCTTTCTTCAGAGCATTAGTCTTCAAGGCACCGTGCAGCCCTCAACCCAGGCTTATCTGGGCTTCAGGTCCCTGCCAAGATGTCACTGTGTACCTGCCACCCATGCCAGGATTGCTCGCCTTTGAAACAGGCTCCTGCCTAAAAACCACAGGCTTTCCCAGAGGCCCTTGTTACAGGGAATGGAAAACAGATGAGCTCCTTTCCTATAGGAGAATGACCCAAGGAAAAGCTTAGGCAAGGGCTTGGCAGAATCCCAATGGGACAGGCTGTTTGCAATCCCGACCTCTATGTTCATTTGAGTACCCAGCTCACATGGAGATGGAGGTAAAGGGGATTAAAGAGGTTTTTAAGGAGGTTTGGGAGGTTGCATGTCCAGCACCACTAGTAGCCAGCAGGTCCAGGAGGGACACTTCTGAAGCAAAGGAAGGGATGGTTGTTGACCCACACACTCAAGGACACACCACTGGCCACAGCAAGCTCAGGGAGGGTCCCAGCCACCCAGGCTGATGCCAGCAGCCCCAGGAACAGCCACTGCCCCCAGCACCCTCTGTTTCGCTAGCCAAAGCAAGGTTCTTCCAGTTCTCTCTTGCTTGACTGGCTCTCCTGCCCAATTTACCTAGTAGCTCCTTCCCTGATCCAGTCCAGGCTCAGTCCATCTTCCCTGGACACAGGAGACCTGAGTGAGTGACTCGATAGGTCCCACTCCACCCCTTCGTGATGCTACAGAGATTTTGCCACCTTGCCTTCAATCCTCTCTCCTCCTTCATGGCACTGCTGCCCTGTGGTCACCTCACAGTCACCCTGATGTCACTCACACTCCTTCTCTCCTCCTCCACACTGCAGCTTCCCAATCAGCAAGACCTGAGCTCCAAGGAGATCTCTTTGCTGCTCCTCAGCAAGCACATGGCTTTCCATTTCTCACTGCATCCCACATCTCTTCCTCCAGCCCTCAAATGCCTCCAGCCCAGAGTAGCAGTCTCCACCCCTTCACCTCCAGGAAGTCAGTTGATGATGGAAGCAGGAAAGCCCATGACTCATCCCCAAGAACTCCACTGGTTGCTGACATCCTCTGTATCCCCCCAACACCACTCAGGATAATCCCAGTACTACTTGCTCTCCTGCTCCTCATCCCCTTCCCCTCTTCCCTGCTTCATTAACACCCTCCCCTAGCAAAAGCTTTACTACAAAGAACAGCTCTACAATGTTTCCAGGCCTCTGATGCCAGGCTAGCCCGGGGTGACCTACCTTTGGCAAACCCATGATTCATTTTCCTCTCCTGACTTCCAAATCTGTTCCGAAATGGCATGCGATCGAGGTCAGCCTTACAGTCCTATTCCTGCCTGCCTTACTTTTCTTCCCCTCCTCCCCCCGCTTTTAAATATAGGCATTGCATTCGCTATTCTCCAGTCAGATGGTGCCTCCCCCAACTCGATGGAGTTGTTAAAAATACTTGTTACCAGACCTGCCATTCCATGTGCCAGCTCCCTCCAAGCATAGGGGGGAGGCCCCCGAGGGACTGGCTGATAGGTGCCACGGTCTCAGTGTTTGGTTTCCATGTCAGCCGCGCTCATGGCCGCGTCCTCGTTCTCGCTGTCCAGCCTTTTGTTGCTTTGTGTGTTGACTAAAAGCTGGAGTGAAGTATCCATCCATGCCCAAATGTCCCCAGACATCATTTCACTGTGCCTTGATGTTTCCATCTGCAGAGGTGGATGGAAGCTCCTTTGAGCACCCTCCATGAGATCTGTGTCTGGTGGCTCTCATAGCACTTCCCAACTAATTTTGGCACCAAGATGTAGTTGTCTTGACTGAGCAGCCCCTTTTCCCATTCCTTTGGGGCATCATTTGCTCTTCATATCCCTCTGTAGGCAGTGATTCATCATTTTGGTCCACTGTGCCTTCCCACAGTTTTTTTTTTTTCCCCCTCAGCTGAAGGTACCAGGAGGTCATCATGTGCAGAATTCAGGGTAGACACAGGGAGTTTAGTCCCCAAATTACACCAGTGCTGTAATTCCCTTAATGAAGAAACTTCTGGTTCCTGCCCCAGCTCTCGGTGCAGCAGGCCAGGTCCCAACACTCACCCAAGCTCTTTGGGAAATCTAGGAGTTGCCTGATCTTTGCTGCTTCTTCCCTTCCTTTTAAGATGACCACCTTCTCATTATGCACTCTGCCAACCCAAACCACCACCTCTCAAACTCTCCCATGGCCACCAGACCAAAAAACATTTTCTGCTGCCTCCAGTCACACCTCAGACACCGACACAAGCAGCGTTAGCTTGTGAGAGCTTCTTCCCCAAGGGACCACACGCCCAAGGGTGTTTCCCATACCAAGGCACTGGTGGAGACTCCCAGCCTGAGCTGAACCACCACACTCACATCTTGCCACAACCAATTCTGCTGCCAGCAAAACCCTCTGGGTCTAGAAATGCCCACCACCAGGATGTGGGAACAGGACCCTCATGAGAGAACAGAGGCAGCACAGTGGACCCCCACCCAGGGCAGGAACTCCCACCAACCTCTGCTTCTCAACCCCCGAGCACCAGCTTATTCTTTAGGCAGGTCCTGTGTTGTTGTGGGTTTTTTGGTGGTTGGGTTTTTTTATTTTTCCAAAGGGCACAGGGAGCTGCAAAAGCAGGTCTCACTCGGGGGGCCAGAAATCTAAAGAAATCTAAATATACACTCAAGCCGAATGCAAAGCACAAGCGCACAGCCCACACGTACCCTCCCTCAGGCTGTGGCGCATGGGAAACTTTAGGATTTCTTTGCTATAGGGGAAAGAGAGTGGGGAAAAAAAAATACCTCAATAAACCCCTCAGTCTCTCCTAGCTAAAAATAAACAGAGAGCATGTACTGTCTGTGCAGGGTGCTTTAGTGGCCACTCATTGCTCACCAGCGCAGGGAGGGGAACTGAGGACCGAGGGTCCAGGCACCCAGATCATCTGGGGAGCACCAGAACACAGGGAGCCACTGGATTTCATTCACACAGATACTATCCTAGAACATTCTGGGTTGGAAGGAACATTAAAGACCACTTAGTTCCAACCCCTCTGCCATGGGCAGGGACACCTTCTACTAAAACAGGTTGCTTAGAGCCCTATCCAACCTGGCCTTGAGCACTTCCAAGGATGGGACAGCCACAGTCTCTTCAGGCAACCTGTGCCAGGGCCTCCCCACCCTCACAGAGCAAAATTTCTTCCGGATATATAATGTCAATCTAATCTCTCTCAGTTTAAAGCCATTCCCCTTTGCCCTATCAAGATCCATCTTTACTGATTCTCCAGTGTCTCATAACAAGGCTGGGCTCCCACTGGAGGCTTTCCCCGAGGAGCAGGGGAGTTTTTTACCCTGGAGACCTCCACATCCAGTGTGTCAGTCAGTCCACACTGGTTGCAATCCTAGTGAGGGGGTTTGATGGGGAAAGCCAGGATCTCAAGGGGCTTTGCCCTGGGCACTGTGCCTGCCTTTGCTGGACCTTCTCAGGTGCTTGTGCAGTGGGACAGTGAGTGCAAAAACAACACAGTTTCCAAGGTTTCTACTCCAAACCCTTGTCTCAGCAACTCCTGATGGTCTTCGTCTGGTGGTGACACCCAGCATGCCCCTGCCATGGCTGATGGCATCCCCCCAGCATCACCTCTGCAGCCCCCAACATGCTCCTCCCTGCAAATGACAGCTGCATCCAGCTGAGAAACACACACAGGTCAGCAGGAACACCTC